ACAAAACAAACATACTTGGCTGCTATGAAAGATCCTGGTTCTGTGCCCTCTACCAATTACTCTGGACAAAACAAACATACTTGGCTGCTATGAAAGGTCCTGGTTCTGTGCCCTCTACCAATTAACTCTACTTTCTTTTCTACTTCATAGATTAAAAAAATACATACCCTGGCCTGATGAATCTGGTAAGCATCCTCAGCATTCTTCAGAGCTTGGGCCTTGTAATAGTTACTATCTGAAAACAACACCTCCACGTTAGAGGTCTGAAGCAGAAACCATCCAAATTAACACACGGATAAATTCCAGTAATTACAGTAGCGCTTCGTACACAGAAGGACTTTGTGCTTGAAATTGTAAGCTTGCATGATAACATGCACAGTACAATAAACTTCACAAGAGTGCATGGGAAGTATTATAGCTGAATTACTTACCATAATCTTCTTGGGTGATGTTGACCACCACTCCTCCACCGATATCAATTTGCCTTTGGGTAGAGCTGTCTTCCAGTTTGCGTAGGATTTCCTCCTGTATTCCATCATGTCCAATATCTCGTTTACGACTCATAAAATGGGCATATAATTCAGTCTGTGTGATTAGGAAGTTAAGTTTTCGCTGCTGTCTCTTAGCCTAAGAGCATTTACAAGAAACAGATGAAGGGGGAAAAAAACCCAAGTTTAATATTTAAATTACCATTAAAGAAAAAAGATTTAATCTAGTAAAAGATATCAACAACTATATCTAGATTATGTTATGCACATCACTGTGATAGCAAAATGCTAGAACACTACCATCATAAACATCTATATTAAAATATAAAACTCTTGTAAATGAAAAGTTCTCTTAAATTCAGTAATCATGGCAAAGAACACAACAATCTAATAAAAGAAAGTCTAAAAGTTTTGTTTACAAAGAAAAATTAAAAGATTAACAAAAATAAACAGGATTTTAGTAGTCTAAATTAAAAATCAGTTAAAAAAACCCCCACTCTCATGACAACCTAACTCCAGCGTTCTGTTATTTACTAACAAAGACAATTATGGTAGAATACATCACTAGGTAAAACAGCTGAGACAATTTTTCGGGGTTCAGCAAGACACTGCAGAAACTGTTAATTCTTAGGTTCTGGTTAAAAAATGCTATAGTTAGAAGTTGTCTATTAATCTAAGTCAGCTGAAACCTTCACAAAATGCTTATGAATTTGCAAGAATGAGGGGAACATCATAAATAAATAATAATTTCAGCATAAAACTAAACAAAAGGTATTCTAAAGATTAGAATAGCTCATCACTGTGCACAAAAGTTAACAACCATAAATCCACTAGAGAGCTTTGGCAAGGAAGCCTTTTCTTAAATTCAACTCCTATTATTCTGTAAGGGAGTCCATGGAGCTGTCACTTGGCCAACAAAAAAAGGAGTCACAAAAATTCTGTGCCCCATATATAAACTACAGTATCAGTTTACATCAGGGGGAAAAAAAGGAGGGAGAAAAAAGGAAATGCAATGTAAGTGAAAAGGTGGCTTGACTTCTGGACCCAGAATGATGTACACACCATCACAAAAGGTTGGCCCTTACCAACACTGTACGCGAGACGTGCACTGCTTCTCTAATCCCTTCCTCCCTTACACTTGTAAAGAATTTAAGCTCTTTTAAGGCTTTTTTAATCACCTCTAGATAACACTAAAAGAATTATATAAAGAATTTTGAGATACGAGAAGAAATACATGGAATCTCGCTGAAACAGAAGAAATAATGTAATTTCATGGCCTCAAATTGTCCAGTCTCCTCAACAGATTAATTATCAGCAATCTGTGGTTTTGCTGTACCTCTCTCATTTCCTCATCCAGCTTGCGTTGCTCCAGAGCCTCCTTCTCAGCCCGTTTGCGATGTTCTTTTTCCACCTTCTCGTACTTTTTCCAATAGAGAAGCATCTCCTTGGTAAGACGACGTGCCCGCGGTAGAGTTTCCTTACAATTTTTCTGGGCCTGGAGAGCAGCTCGACGTACCTCCCTCATGCACTGATGGGCAAGCTAGAGAGAAATAAAGTTTAGGAAACTGTGGTAAAATGGGCAGATTTTAAAGAAAGCCAGCAATAAACACCACCAAATTTAATTATAACCAAGTCAGATCCTTTAGAAGAGAAAAGCCCATGATACTTTACTCAGCAGTAATGCTTCTGATGTCATGAGAGAATGTGAGCTTTCAAAAACCTCCTGACATTGTGGAGATGACAAAACTTAAAGACAGTTTCAGCATTTCAGCACGGAACTTAAGGGACTGATCTGGTGGGTAGGTCCTTGAAAGGGACTCAGGAGATCAGAGTTCAAGGCCCACCTGCAACTCTGGCTCACCTATTCTGAACACTTCTGTGGTTCTCTTCTCGCTGTTTTAATAAGGCTGCTGCAATAGCAGTATTGGTGGAACACAATCCCCCTCACGTTAATACACCAAGAAGTGGGGGAGTATCCTCCAATTTTCCTACCATCTCATGAAGAGGCATAATACAACGTAATTTTTCTTTTTAATATAAGAAATTAATGCCATTGCCATAATGGTCAAAATCACTGGGTTTGATGTTAGTGAGAGGTTTTTTTCCTCCACTGAAATTTGCACATCAACAGTTCTAAGACACAGATTTCAAATGACTGAACAAAACAAAAACAAAGGGAAGGAAAAGTGGAATTTCAAAACCTCCAAGTCTGCTGCATCACTCACTTGCTTAAAGGCAATTTGTGATACCTACAAATACAATCATCACGGGTTATCTGCCCAGACATCACAAAGAAATCCAGTCTCTGCTAGCTAAGGAGGATCACAGGAGAGACTTTAAATACAGCCAAGTTTCCTAAATATATACCTGCAACTCCTGTATTCTGAATCCCTTACACAGAAAATGCTCCCTTTCTTGATAATGTATATACAGGATGGAAAATTTCCTACATCATCCTTCTCTGATGATTCTCAGCCATATACTTGATTACCTTTTCATCAGCCATATAAACGAATCAGACACTTGAACATAACACTTGAACAACACTCAGAAAGCTGTTATCAAGTGTTCCTAAAGTAAAGCCTTCTAGGTAGAAACAATGACACTTCTCAGAGAATACTCTGATGAGGAGCTACATTTCTTTTGCAATCATTTAAGCAGAAAACTTGTATTTTTAATCTCAGCTTCTATATATATTTACGTAAATGAACACATTTAATATTCCAAGAGGCCCTTTGATTTAAACAAGAATGCTTAAACCAGCAAATTCTAGCTAGTGATAAGATGGGCAGTTCAAAAGCCACAAAGTGTACCAAAGTCATTAATTTATTGTATCAAAGATCAGTACATTAAGAATGTACAAACTAAATCGTATGAAAGCCAGAAAGATCTCATGAAAAAAAATCACGTTGCTCGTTTCATCTGTTGCATATGAAACACGCTAGAATAACACATCTGAAAAATGGAAAGCTTTGTACTAAATGACAAATTACTTCTATAAAGTGCTTTCTCCTGTACTGCTGTGCTAGTATAGTCAGTACTGTCAGAAACAGAAGAAACATAAAGAGCTTCCAATTTGCTTATTAAATAGAGTACAAGGAACAGTACCAAGCTAAACGATACTTACCTTTTTGCTGTTGGTTAGGAAAAGGTTGCGGGCCGAGGCTTTTTGTTTGTATGCCTATAAAAGAAAACCATCTTAAAATTAGTTAAAAGGTAATGGCTTCACAGTATTTTAAAAGGTCACTATCCAGTCTTCAGCAGATATACATACCAACTTCAGTCATGGAGACACAGTACAGGTTACCATGAGGTTTATTTTGACTGAAACAGCTTTTCATCCTTAATTACTGAAAGTATATGTAAATGTATTCCAACTCCTGAAGGAAGCATGTAAAATAGTAATAATCCTCCATTTTCAGGATCATTTCTCTAATTGCTAGTACTGCAAAGCAAGGTTCTCCTATTGCACTGTTATCACTGAAGTAAACAACAAAAACTTCCACTGTTTCCCAAAGTGTTAAGAATTAATATAGATCCTGTGGTCTTCACATAACCAAAAATCAGTCTTTTGAAAAAATAAGGTCTATCCCACTGCACATAAAGAATGATGCAGCCATCACTCATATTCAGCTTCCTAGAATGCAAAGTCTGCTAACTGTGAACTCCAAAAAGTAGGTTGTAAAGTTCACTATGAGCACATCTCAGAAAATTAATGACAGTGAATCCAGCTTTCTATTTCATATGTGCCTGAAGTTCGTCACAATGACACAGCTACTTTTCCCTAGATTGTTTCTGAAATAAGTTTCAAAAAACACGCATGCTGCAATGATTGACACACTCCTTTCCTGAACCTCATGTAAAACCTAGATATCGGGTTGCTCTATGTTGCTATCCTCTAGATTAGTAGGAGTGGCTGCTGCAGTTTACTGTACTATTCATAGAAAAGGGTTGGAAAGCCAAACAAAAGCAGTGGCAAAGCACTGCATGATCCACTTAGATCTCATCGCTGATATGACATTCAAACTGCACTTTGCTTACAGATTACAGATCATCACTTTGGTCATTAATGACCACCAGAAAAATCAGGTCCTTCCTCACTCTGTTTTTCCAGTGTCAACTCCCCACTTAGTTAATTTTCTAGTTCAGTTTCCTGCACTTTGCTTACAGATTACAGATCATCACTTTGGTCATTAATGACCACCAGAAAAATCAGGTCCTTCTTCACTCTGTTTCTCCAAGTGTCAACTCCTCACTTAGTTAATTTTCTATTTCAGTTTCCTGCTGTCATCACTGACCTAGTGCCATAAGCCAAGCTTACCTTTGGCAACTCCTTTTTAACAATGCTAAGCCACACTTTCCGCCGACGTGCATTAAGTTGCTCAATAGTCAAATGCTTTTTCTTGGACCCAGGTGGTGGAGTATCATGAGAAAACTTGGCAAAAACTTTGGTCTGGTGATGGTGGCGACGTGGCGACTCCTCCGAAGAGAGTTCTTCCTCCCGCCTTCTCTTTTTCTTCACTTTTTTCAACTTGCCTGCATGGTAACAATGATCAAAAAAATAAATTCCTTCTTCTATTTTTGGGATACATTTTAGTTAGGTGTCTTTCCTGAGTAAGCTATCCTAGTTAATTTATGTGTGAAACCAGATAAAAGCCAAACTTATCCATGTTTGCCAATTCTGGTACCATTCATTTATCTTATTAGATATTTCCTCGTTACTTTGTAATGGAAAGATTTTCCTGTAATCAATAGAGTGGAAATGCAGTTTTTCCACTCAGGGAAACACGCCTTAGGAGTTAAAATGCCTGGGACCTGGTGTAACATTTCTAGGTTTGTAGTAAAATTCTACTTGAATACACGTAAAGTTAAGACATTTAAAGGTAACAACATCAACATCTGGTAGGGTAAGTCTCAAACCAAACTTCTCAGCAGTTGAAAGCGCTCGGCATGTTATAATGCATTACAGATAGCAGCTTTCAGAGAAAATGGATACCAGTACCATGTATTAAAAATATTCTTTGTTAAGTATGCAAAATCATGGATGCTGCAAGATGGATGCAATGGAGAAAAAAAAAATACAGTTAAAGGAACTTGCAGAAAGATGGGAAGGAAGTAAGCCCAAAATAGTCCACTTAAAACACGGCTCAAACTTAAGTACTTGCACTAGAGAGAATTCACCTTACACTGACAGTTCATAGCCTTCTCTTCCTGCTTCCTTACAGATTTACAGCTGCTGCCAGCTCAGCCAAGAAAGGAAACTGTACTTCCTGGCAAACACACATCTGAGAAACTCCAGTTGAGAGGTTACAGAAGTAATTCTATTTTAACTCATATTGGACATCAATTCTGAGTTCCCTCTAATTTCCTGAAAACACTCTCCCTATCATTTCTTGTTCCTTATAATTATATATTCAGGAATAACTGCAGCAGGTACTGATAAGGTCTTACATTTTCAAGGAACTATCAAGTTTTCAAAAAACTCCAAGTAAATGGACCATGATACACAATGATAATTACGAATTCCGAAGCAATGAATAAAGCACGTACTGCGTAACACTCTCATTCTAGATTCAGAGGTACACAAAAAGATCTAAAGCCATGAACTCTCAGTTCTCACTCCTTGTTTTCACTCTAGCTTTCTAGCAGCCAGAAGATAAAGCACACTATTTTCTGAAGATTTTTTCTTTGACAGAACTGAGTATTTCCATGCAAAACCCAAAAGTTTTGAACGTTCATGTTTATTCAAAGGAAATAACATAGGAAAGAAATTTAATCACAGCAGCCATTTAAAAACACAAGGTTAGTGACTTTACCTTTTAATTTTTTCTCTTCTTTAAACTTCTTTTTCTTGGGCCCTAGCAGGTGGCGCTGCTGCTCGTAGTAAGGATCATGTGTAGACAGCAGTCCTGCACTGTAGTACTGATACTGCTGCAACTGAAGTGGACGTACATGAGCACAGTGATGGAAAACAAACATAGCAGATAACAGAAACACCAAGTAACCAAGTTCAGATCTTGATCACAAATAGGGTATCAGAAAACATGCACTTCTCCATATTCAGCACTGTTATCAAAGATCATACAGTGTCCCACGTGAAACCACTGCTCCCAGAGATGGTCTCCAAGCTCCACACAAGAAGCCAAGCCCACCCAGTTAAGTAAGAAGCAAAGTGAAGCTTATGCTTTCAAAACATACTGCTCTCTCTTTTCCATACAGGTGCTGCCCAGCAAGACAGAACATTACATGAAGTGGTTCAAGCATGGACCTCCTATTGGTTTTGTTTGCATTCCCAAGTTACCGATGTGTTCTACTTTATCATTGCATAGGATGTAAAAGGATGAGTTTAAATAAAAAGCATTTCAAAGATTTCCACAAGGATAAACAACTTGAATATTCAGATTGTCAAGTAAAAATATAGTTGCCTCCTCACTTTTTTCCCCAAAATTACCAAAAAAGTCAGTAGGTTCCACACATTACTCAACTAATTTTAATATTAAAGAACTATATACAGTTTATGCATAAACCAGCAAAGATAGTACAGGTCCAAAATTAACTACTTAAACCCAAAGCATACTATTAAGCTAATAAAGGATTTCTGAAAGGTGAGAGCATCAGCATAACCAAACTTCCTGGAGCAGATGTGTTTCCCCCACTCATAACTGTGTACTGCTGATACGACAATATCTTGGTTATTAATTCTTACTAGTCTGGAAATGAGTATGTGTGTAAAATCTAACAAAAGTTATGACCTGTATAAAAATTCGGTATGTGAGTATTTGTGCAATTGTACAATATTTCAAGAAGCTAACACAATCTTGGGTTAGAACTTAACAAGTAAACAAAGGAAAGAAGAGGACAGAAGCAAAGACCAGGGTGGGAAAACACCTCTTCACTCTTCTGGAGAAGTTTTAGAAGAGCATGAAGCAAGAAGACAAGTTTTAATTTCAGATACATCCTCTGATAGCAGAATAGGATGACATCCTTCATCTGAGACTACTTTCTTGTGCAATTCAAAACAGCAATGAAAATAATTTCTGCAAAAGCCATTGTAATTTGAAGAAATATATTATTAGAATCAAAAGAGTCATAGAAATCGGCCTAATATCAAAAAAATGCAGAAATGTGGCAGACTATTTTCTTTTAAGGAGGAAAAAAAGAAGAGAATATGAGAAGAAAATCCAAAATAAAAAAGAAAGGTAAGAAAGAAAAAAGGAACATCAGGTAAAACCCCAGAGAATGACAGAAAACAGTAAGGAAAAAAACCAGGAACTCCCGTTCGAGAAGGTAAACATTGCCTTACTACTCTTTGCCTCAGTGATCATGCAAGTATATTGCTTTAGGTTTAAATATACAATTTTAGTCCTGAACAGAAGCTACTACCTGTATTAGAATTTTACCTACAGCACCTCATATTTGACATATTTGACATATATTATCCAAATACTGCATTCTAACACCCTGTATTTGTGCTAGTTACTGGGACAGAGTGTTGTGGAAGCTACATATAGATATACACACCGGTACATATACATATGCCAGTAATAGCTACATAAATTATTGACAGATACTCAGCATAAGGCATCAACAGCTTTTCAGTCTGTCTGTAATTAATTAAATAACCCTTGTCTGAAACTGATGTCAGATTGTTCTAGTCTACTAAACAAAAGGATATTTTCCAGTCCACAAAATATTATGGTTTTTGATGAAAATCTAAAAGCAGTTAATATAACACAGTTAAAGGAGAGAATAAAAATCAAGGCAATGTAAAAATTCGGGATTTTTACCTCTTTGTCTTTAATATATTTACTCTGATGCAGTTTCTTATATTTGTGTAATCGCAGCATATTGTGAAGTTCCTCCCTTGAAAGAGAAAATTCTTCATCCTCCTCTCCATCCTCATCACTTGGTGAATCTGTGTCACTGGAGTCATCACTCAGAAGGATACTCTAACAAGAATAAATGGAAATTAATTTAACAATTGCAAGCCCTTCTACTGAATTATTTATTTATGCAAAGCACTCTTGAGCCTTTACCTAATAGAGGGCTGCGGGTCTGGCCCAATAACAAGACTTAGTATTTACAAAGTGTCTTCCATATGAAACACTTCAAATGAAAAAGAGTTTTCTGAGATACAGTACTGCGTAGCAGTGAAACCAATACACATTTTCTGATCTGGGCGGAGGCAGTTTTTCTGTTAGGTTGGTGACAGTTCAGTCATGTTAGAATCCACTTTGTCTGTGGTCTCAGAAAAGCTGCAGTGAGAAAACCCAGGATACCAGTAGGGGCATTTTGTGATGTATGGTCACAGGTGCTTTCCCACTCCATTTGTAGTTTGTCCTGCTATTCTACCACTTCCACTTGCATCAGCTGCAGGAGGTTTGGCTCTTGTCTGACCTCCTGGCAATCTGTTTTTGCTAACTAGAGAAGGCTACAGTAAAATGAAAATGCAAAGGTGGCATATAAAGCCGCCACTCCACTCTCTCCTTCAATCCTTATTTGGACCTTGTACTGAGTTCATCTCAAAAACAAATTTACAGCCAAGTCCCAAATGTCCATTTAATGTATTTCACAATAGCTCATTTTAATTGGACAGTGTACTAAAATTACTTAAAAAGTTTCTCACCATGACACTTAACTGAAATGCTGCTGCTCATCCAAATTGAAATATCTAATGTCTGTTTTGCTACATGATGGAAATTAAAGCCTCAAATCTAGAGAGACTGTAATTCTATTTTGTTCTACCCAAGATCTAATACAATATTCATTATCAACTGTCACACACACTTCCTTCTTTCCATTTTCAAGATGAGAAGACTCTGTAGAATGTATTTTTTGCTCTGGTGTTTTCTCTTAATGTAAAAAAACAAAGCACCGAACAAAACAAACCATATTCCTTTCTTCTTAGCAAGGGACACTAGCTGTAGTTACCTCAAAAACAGTGCACCAAACAACAATCCAACATAGAACAAGACTAAAGAATTAAAGTGAAGCCCTCTTTTCAGCAACACAAAATATTACCACATCTCTGCATTACCTTTTGTCTCCTTTTCAGTGTGAGATTTCGCACCAATTAAATTGTATCACATGATTTAGGGCAACTCTCAAAACGCATTAGTCCAGCTTTCTGAGCACTCAGTAGTACATGAAAAGTAAAATTAAATGGACTTTTGAGATGAGAACAAACAAACTTACTGTAAACTTAGCGTATTCGGAAATTTTATTTGTGGTCATTTGTGATAATGCTCTTACCAGTGCTCAGCTTACTTTCCTGTTGCCATCTGCTCGCTTACATGTTTCTACACCATGATCTGCTTCAGATGACAACACAGAATCATTCACCACTGTCTAGAGGGTGCTGACTGGAACTCTACTCACAGATTTCGTAATAGCTGCATTTCTTTCCAATATTCTTACCTTCAGCCACTTTCTGCTTTTCTTCAGTTTGGAGAAGTTATACAAGCTCCCTTTTTCAGACTTTGGCTCTGTTTAGAGAAAAAATAAAGTTCTTAGGAAATAATGCTTTTCCCAGTTGACCCCAGAGAAGACAGGGACTGAACCCAGTGCATGCCCACCTGGCTGCAGTACTCCATTCAGGGAATGTGTGTTCAGCATGCCAGAATTCCCTGCTCCAGAAGGCTCCCCAAGCAAAGAGTTTGGAGGCTCTTCCTTGACTTGCATCAGGGGATCCCCAGACTGAGGCAACAAAGGATTGTCATCCAATCCATCTTCACTCTCATCGCTGCGAGAAGACAGGTAATAACATGGTAACAATGAAAGGAGAATATTTGAAAGAGGAGATGCCCATGCAACTTTCTAAGATATAACCATTTGTCTAAAGTTTTGAGAATCGAGACAGCTTCATATGTAATTTTACACACTAGAAATAGTGCTGTTAATAATTTCCTGTTAACCCCTCCACAGTAGTTAATCATCAGACCAGCCTGGCTGTGCTATCACCCTGCACCTCCAGACTTTAACTAAGTATCTAATTTGAGAAGCATGAACTAAGCAAGAAGCTTATCGAGTCAAACCAAAGCACAACATTGTCATCCTCTGCACTGCTGTACATGTGAGAAATATAAAGCTCTACTTTTCCTACTCTGTGTGTGGATCTTTTTACATGCTTGTAAATATACCTGTTACCTATTACTTGTTCAGTTACCAGTTTTGTAACTATACAATTCCAAAACACTGATGAAATTAAATGTAAACTGTTTGGAGAGAGAAACGTACCTTGATGACTCGCTTCTCATTGCTACAACTTACTTACATACAAATTCTGCATCGGACAACAGTCTTTGCATTTCACTTATGGCTACAGGCCACCTCCCTGAAAAGTCAACTTAGTGCTTGTTCATCCTACTTATTGCAGACAAAGGCAGTTTTGGTCACTCAGCTCTAAAAAAGGAGCTTTAAAACATTATGCTAATTTGTACCTGGGCTGGCCAAACCCTGAATTATCAGCGTGAGCTAAAAGAAACACAGCGCAAAATTTTTAGAGAAGAGTTTATAATGTACAAGTCACTATTAAACTCTTAATGCGGTGTTGCTGGGAACAATACAATAAAAATGCTTGTCTTTCCTTGGTATTTCTGAAGGAAAAGGTTTTGGTACCTGGATATACTCCTGTTAAAGATAGCAGACGTCTGTCGCAAAAACTGATCCAGCTGCAGAGCTTTCTCCAGGTACTGCAAATAAAGGGGTTTTGCCAGCTCTGAGCAGCTGCCATCCTCCCTGGCGCCCAGCTCTGAGGCCATAGAACAAACTTCTCCTCATGCACAGGTGCCTCCGAACAAACAGCTGTTAGGAGGAAACAACAGTCATCATCACCACCATCACCTCTGGAAGGAATAAACTCGGTGAGCAGGCAAAGCTACTGCAAGCTACATGAAATGCGAGTGTTTTGCAGAACACGAAACCAAAGTAGTTCTGGGCAGAAGCCTTGGGTTGCAGTTAACAGGTTTACTGCGCAAACCAACAGACAGAAATTCACACTAAACTTTCCACCACGATATTACCACAGCCAAAACCTCGATTTTTAGTTTCATGACTTCGTGGATGCCGTTTGTTAGGAACGAGCACTGCACAGACCTAGTAACATAATCCACAAATGCAAAGTACAGTGAAGCCAGTCCTTGAACATCTAAAGTAAACTTTCACCACTATTAAAGATAACACGTTTAACTCCGAACAGAGGGCAGCCATTTATCATGAAAGCAATTACATTAGTATCCCTAAGCTGAACCATATATAAAAACTTCCTCCAAAAACAAAGAACTACTGAAAACACCGTTTTTCTGTTGTTTTAACCATTCAGTTCACAGTTGCAGTCTACAGAATTCTTGTCAGACTTTTCTTTTCCTACTTTAGAGCAATGCTGCTTTCACAGCAGTTGGAACACACGTGTTACCTGCTGACAAACAAGCCACAAATACCTGACCAAGGAAACTTCCATTCTAAAATTCAACTGCTATCTTTATTAAAAAGCAAAACATAATCAGCAATTTCTTACATACCTTTTATATTTACAAATTTAGAACATACCATAGCTTTACGTTTTTTTTCAGCCAGTAAAAATATCCTGCCTGATTTTCTTCATTTGTTCTCAGGATTTTATATTCTTAAATACCAACATACCCCCCCTGAAACATCTGCATAATACACTTTAAAAACAAAGCTATCAAAACATTTCATTGCTCTGCCAACTTCAGTTTTATCTCCCTTCAGACACAAAAAATGTCGTGACAACTGTTACAGTAACAGCTCTGACAACTGGAATTTTATTTTTCTTTGATTACAAAAGATGCCACCATTGTTACAGTACCAATGAGAAAGATAATTGAAAATTATTCCCAAAGTCACGGTTGTTACTGTACAAATGAAAGTGCTTGCAATACCCTAAATACAATAATATTTACTAATAAATAAATGCCTTAAGCTTTTGTGTCTGGTGGAAGACTAAAATAAAAGCAGTCAGTTTTGAAAGACTTGGATCGATTGTTTTTCTGAAGGGTTCTTCTGGCTTCCATCACTTCTTAAAAATACTACAAAACCTGAAGCAAACTTCACATTAATTCACTGCAAAACATTCTATGCTTGTTCATCTCTTAAACTGTTAATGACTAAACTGTTTTAAGTTCATATATGTAAAAACACAGATTGAGTATCTGGTCTTCAAACTGTTCTCTCTTCACTTTTTCCAAGTCTTTTATCCTCAAAAATTACAGAACAGATTCAGGATGCCTAAAGTTACAAAAAACTACGACAAGTGATTACCACCTTGCGAATAATGGCAGTGGTTGAACAAGAGCAAATTTTGTTATTTCTTACTAAACCCCTAGCCTTGAGTTAACATCTTTACTCGTACAGAGTAAACCGCAGCATGCCAGAAACTGTTAGACGGGATAACAGCCCTCATTTAAAAATTCTTTTTAGACTGAAGCTATCAAGGTTCAGCTTCCTATATGGCAGATCTTTGTGCAGCTGACAGCAAAGGAACGATTGACCTGTTACCTGTGTCCAGCAGAGGTTAACAGACAGAACAAAGCCCCTTAAAGCTTTTGCTATGACAGGGGTATTAAGACTCGTGTTCTCCAGGAAACTTTCATCTACAGATGGCATATTGCTTAATAGCCCTCTGAAAAAACAAACAAACCACCCTAACATCAAAAACAGCCTTCCAAGAGACGAGACCATGAAGATGAAGAGGTTAGAAAGCGAGAGGTGACACAGGACTTGTGTCTATGATGGAAGAAGTCATTCAGGAGATAGAAAAGGACACCAAGAAGGTGAAAGTGGTTTTCTTTCAGACCACCAATAAAAATGACGTAAATTATACAAGCAAGATTCAGTCCCTAGTACCACAACAGAAAACGTACAGTGATCCTTTTTATTACTCAATTTCAAAATGTATCCATCAACAAGAGCATGTGTTAACGTGGCACTGTATTACTTTCCCAGCCAAAATATCACGTGCAACCATTGTTTAATGATTTTACTCAGAAACACAAGGCATCTTTCACCTATCTGTTTTTTGCAGAAAACCTTCTTTCCAAAACTCAACATTTAGTGGCATTGCCTGGCAACGTGGGAAAGAAACATGCCCCAAGGGTCACAAAGCACACAGGACTTGTATTCGGATTCACCTCCTCTGAGGAAGCAAAAAAATCCAATGAATTCTCTTGTACCCCAATGAGCCTTGCCCTCACAAAACTATATAAGCTTAACAGCAAAATAAAGGAAAAGAATTAAGATAGATTTGAGGGCGAGTTTTTAATTGCAGGACAACAAGGAGGCCAGAAGCAAAATAAACACAATTATATTCCTGATGTAAAATGAGTAACTGGATGCTTTTCTAGCTGCACAGACGCACACGCCTAAGCTCTGGTCTAAGTGGATCACAGAATGGTAGGGGTTGGAAGGGACCTCTGAAGAGCATCCAGTTCAACCCCTCTGCCAGAGCAGGATCACCAAGAGAAGATCACACAGGAAGGTGTCCAGGTGAGTTTTGAATGTCTGCAGAGAAGGAGACTCCACAACCTCTCTGGGCAGCCTGGGCCAGTGCTCTGGTACTGTCACAGTAAGTAAGTTTTTCCTTACGTTTAAGTTGAACCTCCTGTGTTCCAGTTTGTGACCATTGCCCCTTGTCCTGTCACTGGACACAACTGACAGAAGTCTGATCCGATCCTCCTGACACCTGTTCTTTACATATTTATACACATTGATGAGATCCCCCCTCAGTCTCCTCTTCTCCAGGCTCAACAGCCCCAGCTCTCTCAGCCTCTCCTCATAAGGGAGATGCTCCAGTCCCCTCATCATCTTAGTGGCTCCGCACTGGACTCTCTCCAGTGGTTCCTTGTCCTTCTTCAACAGGAAAGCCCAGAACTGGACACAATATTCCAGATGTGGCCTCACCAGGACGTAGTAGGGGTTTAGGAGAACCTCCCTTGACCTGCTGGCCACACTCTTCCTAACACACCCCAGGATGCCATCAGCCTTCTTGGCCGTGAGGGCACATAGCTGGCTCATGGTCATCCTGCTGTCCACCAGGTCCCCCAGGTCCTTTTCCCCTGACCCACTCTCCACCAGGTCAGCCCCATCCCGTACTGATACATGGGGTTGTTCTTCCCCAGATGCAGTACCCTACACTTGCCCTTGTTGAGTTTCATTAAGTTTCCCCCTTCCCAACTCTCCAGCCTGTGCAGGTCACACTGAATGGCAGCACAGCCTTCTGGTGTGTCAGCCACTCCTCCCAGCTTTGTATTGTCAGATTTGCTGAGGGCACGCTCTGTCCCATCATCCAGGTCATTGATGAGCATACTGAACAGAGCTGGACCCAGTACTGACCCCTGAGGAGCACCACTAGACCCTGCTCCACTAACCACAACTCTGAGCTCTGCCCTTCAACCAGTTCCCAGTCTGCCTCACTATCCCATCATCCAATCCACCCTTCTTAAGTTTGGCTGTGAGGATGTCATGGGAGACGGTGTTGAAAGCCTTGCTGATGTCAAGGTAGACCACATCCACTGCCCTCCCCTTCATCAATCCATCAAGTAGTGCCATTGTAAAAGGCTATCGGATTGATCAAGCATGACTTCCCCTGGATGAATCCACGTTGACCACTCCTGATAACCTTTTCCTTGACATGCTTTGCGATGGCACCAAGAACAAGCTGTTCCATCACCTTTCCAGGGATGGAGATGAGGCTGACTGGTCTGTAGTTACCCAGGTCCTCCTCCTTGCCCCTTCTGAAGACTGGAGCGACACCGGCTTTCCTCCAGTCCTCAGATACCTCTCCTCTTCTCCAGGATTTTTCAAAGATGATGGAGAGTGGCCTAGCAATGACCTCCACCAGCTCCCTCAGTACTCGTGGGTGCATCACATCAGTGCCCATGGATTTGCAGATGTCCAGTTTACTTAATTATTCTCTAACCCAATCCTCTTCAACCGAGGCAAAGTTTTCCATTTTCCTGACTTCCCCTGTGGTCTCAAAGTTCTGGGACTCCTGAAGGCTGACCTTAGCAGCAAAGACAGAGGCAAAGACGGCATTTAGTAACTCCACCTTCTCTGTAACCTCCAACACCAAGGCAGCCACTTCATTCAGTGGAGGGCCCACATTTCCTCTAGCTTGCCTTTTGCCTCCAGCATACTTTAAGTCTTTCTTGTTGCCCTTGACCTCCCTTGCCAGGTTTAATCCTAGGAAGGCCTTAGCTCTCCCTGTTGCATCCCTACATCATCTGACAACACTCTTGTATTCCTCTCAAGTGGTCAGCCCCTCCTTCCATGCTCTATAAACTTCTTTCTTCCACCTGAGTTTATCCAGCAGCTCCCTGCTCAGCCACACAGGTCTCCTGGCTCCCTTACTTATTTCCTACTCATCAGGATGGTCCGATCTTGAGCTTGGAGGAAATGGCACTTGAAGGAAATGGTGTCTGAATATTAACCAACTCTCCTGAGCCTTCCTACCTTCTAGCGCTCTATCCCATGGGATTTCTCCAAGCAGTTCCTTGAAGAGGCCAAAGTGAGCCCTTCTGAAGTCCAGGTTGTGATCCTGCTTGTAGCTCTGTGCCTACTGCACATGATCCTGAACTCCACCATCTAATGGCTGCTACAGCCAAGGCTTCCCCTAGCCTTCACACCCCCAACCAGTCCCTCGTTTGTCAGTACAATGTCCAGCAGCGCTCCTCTCCTTGCTGGTTCCTCAACCACCTGTGTCAAGAAGTTATCACCAATGCACTGCAGGAACCTCCTGGACTCTGTGTGCCTGGCTGTGCAGCCCTCCCAGCAAATGTCAGGGGAACT